CCCCAAGGAGCCTCGTGGCAAGAGCTGCCCACACAAATGGGGCTCGCCCTTCCTATGTTCTGGGCTGTGGTCAGAAGTCCCAGGCTACCAACTCCTGCTTCCCATTTGCACTGATAGAAGTACAGTCCATTTGCAGGTTGGGTGGCATCGAAGTCAACCAGGACCTTGATCTTCTCTGCAAGGAGAAAGAAACTCTGAAGTGCTTTGGGGGGCAGATGGCAAAACCACTCAACTTAAAACAGGCTCCTTTGGTGACCAGGGATCCCTTGGTTACCAGAGCATGCAACATTATGGGATGGGCTAGAGAACAAGGTATGGGCAGTGGGTTGAGAGGCGGATTAGAGTTTGCATCATCACAATTTAGAGCCTTGGCTGGTCAGTCTTTGTCCACTTGACATGCGCTAGGGTCACCCAGGAAGGTGAAACTTCAAGTGAAGAATTGCCTCCATCAGCTTGGCCTGTAGACAAGTCTGTGGGGGCATTTTCATGATTAATGATTGATGGGGGAGGGCCCAGCTCACTGTGGGCAGTGCCACCCCTGGGCAGGTGGTCCTGGACTTTTCTTATACATAGGAAAACAGGCTGAGCAAGCCACAGGGATGAGCCAGTAAGCAGCACTCCTCTTGGATGTCCCTGCCTCAGGTTCCTTCCCTGAGCTTCTGCCCTGACTTCTCTCAACTGCTGGGCAAATAAACTTTTTCCTCCCCAAGCTGTTTTTGTTCAGTGTTTTGTCACAGCAACATAAAAGCAAATGGATATAGAGCCTTATGGATGACCTGATCCAAATTATTCAATTTTGTGTTTGCTCCAACTATGGGGCAGCTTTTTTTGTTTTTAACATCTGTTAGGAGATGGTAGATCAGTGTTGTTCTATACTCATTACAGAAAGAGAGAAAGGCTCCCATCCATCGCAAAGGACTTCAGGGCTGCAGAAGACTCTGTGTTCCCATCCTCTATGGCCCCATCTCCTGCATAGGGCTGAGTGGTGAGGACAGGAGCTATGGTAGGCATGCACTTGACCATAGAACCAGAACTAGCATGGTGGTACCCCCAGTGGCTGTGAGCTGGCTTGGGGACCAGGCATCTGGCTTCATCATTCCTGGGTGCTCCAGGAGGCCAGAGTCTTCAGTCATCCCATGGTGCTGTGCTAGTCACGGAGTGGATTTTTCTGGGAAGATGAGACATCTCTGGGAGGCATTGCTGCTTTCCCTTCACTGAACTGAGAGAAGCAGTCACCCACTGGGATTCCGAATGTCCTGGAAGTTTGTTGTCTGCCCCTCTCTGCAGCTCAAGAGGGCACCTCTGTGTAGGAAACTTACTTGTGCTGACCCACTCCAGTATGGGGCCAGGAGCCAGACAGAAGGGGGACCAGGGTTTCCCTACCTCCTCTCTCCTTTAAATACACTCTTTCTTGTTTATCCTTCTCAAGATGGGCCTCACAGAATATCTGGGTCCTATAGGACTTGTGCCCCTCAATCTAGATCTCTCTATAATCTTCTGCCTTTGGATCACCATGGTCAAGGACAGTCTCTCTGACCTTCTCTTCACTCTGCCTGGGTCTCGAGGAGCTTCTAAACCCATAACTGAAGGGAAGCCCAAGACTCTGGGTGCTGCTGAAGATGTGAAGACAACCCTGGTCAGGGTCTCACTATGTAGCCCTGGCTGGCCTGGAACTTGCTATGTAGACCACACTGGCCTAGAACTCACAGAGATCTGACTGCCACTGCCTTCCAAGTTCTGGGTTTAAAGCATGGCAAGCCTAGAGACACATTATGTAAAGAGCTCTGTTTCCTTCTCAAGACTCAACTGATACCCAACTGCAGGAGACTTTTGATAGTCTTCTATTGTGACTCCCAGCCTCTATTAAACATTTACCTAAGTAATTTACCATAAGTGACTCTTCCTATGTGTGAGTCATTGAGATGTATCAAGGATATGGAAAGATGGAAGTGAGATCTTCCCTTCCCCACAGGTGGGGCTCACAGTATGCAAGTAGGAAGTTGATGCACAATCACAAATTGTGATATATACTGCAAAGAAAACAGACTGGTTGGCCAGGTGGAGCATATGGTGAGGGAGAGGGGCTCTGATTTAGGTGAGGTGTGAGCAGGTGGTTTTTGTAGAGATGTTTTTAGTGAGACAAGCTTGTGATTTTACTGTGAGGTCCTTGTGGGCAGGGACTATGTCTTATTCAGTTTAACAGCTCCAGTGCTTACAGTGGAGCCTGACACTTATTATGAAAAATTGGTATCATTTTTATGGTTTTCAATGAATGTTTGATGAATAAATAAACAATCTCTTTCCAACAGTTCCTTTAAAACACTGAGTTCTTAATCACTGGAAGCCAATGATATCAGACAACTCTGACATTTTGGGCCCAGCCCGTCTTTATCCCCTCTATCCTTTTCTGCCCTTATTGGATTTTTGTCTTTAGCCTTATTGGATCCCCAGATTGTTGAGTCCAAACAGGAAAGAACTCTCTCCCCCAACATTTACCAACCCTCCCATTCCTGTAACTGCTACAGATTTTCTCCAAGAAGCTATTAAGCACTCCCAAATAGAGCAACTCTCTCATTGACTATCACATACTTCCTTAAATGATCTTTGAATAGTGTTTTCTTTTTATTGCTTTGTGTAGCTTAACAGCACCAATTGCGATTACTCTAACTTACGACAAGCCCCAGATCTCTAAAGCTCTTGTTCATTCATTATTTTCCTTTTGCTCCTTCTCAAATGTTTGTTATTTTTTGGGGATGTAGTGAGGAGGAGGGGGTGGTGATGGGGAGAAAATAAAATAAAAGGAGATATGAAATTAACAGGGAAACAAATGAAATAGGGGATCACTTCTCCCTGGGTGACAGACACCTTATTAGATGCTGTTAAACAAAACAAATATGCTTTAATACAGCACAAGCAAGGGTTTTATATTTATTCTGAAATAAAACGATCCCCACTTTATCTCTAATGGAAAAAGCAGCTAATTGTCCCAATAGCTCATGAATTCTGGTCACTTAGAGAATAATAATAATAATTTTTTTAAACTATTTTACCAATTGTTCAAATCATACCAAGGTGTGTTGTCTGGCATGGGCCAAAAATTCTGTTGCTTGATTGATGTCATGGCTGCTATTCCTGTTCAATTATTAACATGTAGGAGTTATAATTATTTTGAGTATTGCTATGAGATAATTATAAACCATAAACAGTCCCTGTGTTTGCAGATGCCTTTCTTTTCTGCAAATGGACTGAGGTTTAAGAGACCCAAGCAGAGCATACCTCTTATTTATGAACTTTAGAAGAGAGAAAATGTGCTGCCTGGCACTTGGCAATGCAAGTCTGTCTAACCTGGAAGCAGATGCCTTTCCCCTCTTCCCATTGTGACTTGGACCCTTCCAGAACCAGAACTAATACATTGCACATGACTTGTTCCACCACACTGTGTGCCTCCTCTAGCCTGTCTCCATTTTGTTAGCTGAGACTTGTAATTCATCACTCATCTTGGCTCAGCTTGCTCAGCACCCCTTCCTTCATTTTCTTGGTCACTTAGAAGCAGAGGTCAGACACCTGGAGCCTCAAGATTCAAACGCAGCCCAGTTGCTCGCCCAACCCCTAAAAGCCCAACCTCTATTTCTGTAATGAGCATTTCCAATAAGAAAACGTGTCTATTCAGCACCACGGACAGAGTCATGCTGTCAGTTCTCACAAATTGGAAGTTACTGCCTACCATTCTCTTCTAGGCGGCAGTGTTGAGAACCGAGAGGGTGATGAGAAAGAAAAAAGTCAATGAACAAGACTGATGGCCTTGCCACAAAATATGCAGCCCCAACCCCTGGCTGTGCTCAGTCATGGGGCTCCTACAGATGATAAGTGGCTTCTGGAAGCTGCTATTTTCTTGAACAGGCAAGCAATGAACGTAAGAGATAAGAGCTTCCTGGACTTACTTATGCTGACCTGACTCCTAGCAGACTGTCATCTTGATGGGTTCAGTGACAGGGACCCAGCTAGCCAGGGTTCTGGTCTGGGCCACATACAGAGGCATGAGTGTCATGGATGGTGGGTTGGGAGGAGAGGCAGCTGAATTCAGGGAGAAGGCACCAGGCTGTGTACAGTGTAACTCATGGCCAGATGATAGGAGTGTTTCCTCTCTTTTGCTTGGAGTGGGAAGGAAGCTACAGGAGCTATGAGCCCTGATGGGGGCCAGCTCATGGCAAGCTGGGCTGGTGGGAAGAAGCCATAGCTTCATTTGTCTGACTTTAATGAATAAATGGCACCCCCAGCCATTGTCTATCTGCTTTTGAACCCTGACAAACAGTCTGTGGCATCTGATGAAGAGGGTTATTAGTTGCGTGGAGACAGATGGCCAGGGCTGGAGAGAGGATTGGCTCTTTATTACAGCAAATCCATAAGTGACAGTGATATTCTCACATGCCAGCCCCCATGTCAAAGTCAATATCTTCCCCAAGTCCTCTGGGACACAGGTGATCCTTGGCAGAGATCCAGTGCTTGGGGAAGGCAGAACTGCCCCTGGGTGGGAGACAGAATTCAGTCTGTGGAGTTGGGAAAGTAGGCAGGTCTCTAAGAGAAGGCTCTAGGAATACAATGCTGCCTTATTCTTTATGATTCTCCAGAGTAACCTATAAGGTGCTGTCAGTTCAAAAAGTGAGAATGATTCAAGAGAAGGAGGGAGAACTTTGGATTCAAATGATAACAGAAGCCGGTTTCACTGGCCTGGGTAAGAGGGTAGAAGAGCAAAGGCAGGGAAGAGAGAGAAAGGAGAGAAGCAGGTGACACATGGGGAAGAGAAGGTAGCAAAAGCATCATCATCCCGTGCTTTGGTACCAACTGTTCTCCCCTGTGTAAACAGCACCATGAAGATCAAGCCCCCCACTCTCCTTCCTGAGCTGCCGTGTGATCCTTGTCCAGGTCCCTCTGCACCACAGCTATAGACATACCCTCCCCTCACTGCATGGCCCATAAGGGAAGGGGAGGTTCTCACTGACCTTCATTCATCCTCCGAAACTTGTCCTTGGCCATGTAGCCCAGCACCAGACAGCATCCTCTTTTCTGGAGGCCAAGCTCTGGAAGGAAGACATAGGTGGGTGAGTTGGGAATGGGTCAGGTGTGAGGAGACTTCTTAAGCAGGGATACTTATTTAACAAATGTTTGTTTCTACAGCACTTATGTCCCAGGCATGACTTAAAGTCAATAGTTCTTGCCAGATTTTCACAGCATCGTGTGAGGCATAGAGCATTGTGCTTTCCATTGTCTACAACCTTCATTCACAGATGTATGATGTAAGCAACCTTAACAGGTGCTGGGGGCAGGATTTTGAAGTTAGACTCTAGAATCCATCCTTGTAACTATTGCTCTGGGTTATATGGGCTTTTTATAGTCTAAGGTTGGGGACCATGATCGAAGCACTTTGAGACTGTGGCCAGATTAGCTGAACAAGAACACCTGGTAGTGTCCAGAGTGGGATATCATGACTAGACATAGTGGATAACTCAAGATGAATTGTGAGAGTGGAGAAGACACAGAGATGAGAGGTAGATAGGATGTGTTCAACCTTCTGGAAGGGTGGGATTCTGCACTTGCTGATTCTTGTGTATTCCTATGGGCAGGCACTGTTCAGTGACATCATCTAGAACTTGGGAAGTGTAGACTTAGAGTACAGAGGTCAATGGTGCTGAGACACAAGGACCCATAGCATGATTGACTTTCCCAGAAGAACAAGAAGAAGAGCAACTTTGGGTAGCAAATACCGGATGCTATCTTTTGTAGAGCATTGTGTAAACCAACTTCTATTGTGTGTGAGTATTGGACTTGAGTACATCTGCCTCACTAGAAGGCAAGCTATACACTCTGGTATTTGACTTTTGGTCTTGACTTGTCTTGGGTACTTTAAGAATTCTGAAACAATTTCATATCCACTTTAATATTTGATTCCCACGGCAATGCTTTGTGGGATGTGAATGGGCCATTGCTGTTCACATGACACAGATGGAGGGTGGGTGGAGGCTTGACAATGTTGAGGGACTCTCTTTGACGCTTTTGACTCCTCATCTCTACCTGCTTGTTCAGAAGTTCGACAGATGGGACAGCTGCCCTGCACTGGACAAATGGGCACCTGATATTGTTCTAGAAGGCATATGACTGCAGCCGCACCCCCACAGAAACTTGCCAGGATTCCTGCTACATGGCTGTTTCCACCCATGTTCTCAGAGGAGGAGGCTCCTGCTGAGTAGTGTCACACTTGTCCATGACATGGATGTGTCCTTGGCCTTCCACTGACAGGTATCTTGGCTGTCAGAGAATAGACAGCGTGGGATGATTCTTCCTCCTGTCTCTGCTCAGGATGCTCTGCATCCAGCTGCTGCCACCCGGGTCCAGCCTCTGACAACAGGATGAAAAGGAGCATAGGGCCCCCAAGAACAGATAAGTCGAGCTTAGGGGTTCGTGCCCTAGGGAAAAACAAAGCTTGGCAGGTGGTGGTGGGACATCACAGCCCAGGGAGGTCACCAGCTTTGATCTCCTGATTCTTTAAAGGGATTTATTGACTATCAGTGGAGAGCAGAGAGGCAGATCCGAGGGCGCTGTTTCCAAAGGCTCCCTTCCCTTCCTTCCCCTGCACACTTGCTCACTCATCTGAAGGCGCAGCCGAACCGCCCTCACTTCAAACGGCTTCACATCTCAGGCACCCAAATTGACATGTTAAGTTCTCCCATCCAAGGCCTTGGCCCTTTCTTCAGGGGCTCCTGTTCTGTCGAGGGCCGTGTGGATCAAAGCCCCTTTGATGTTTACTTACTATATTTGTGGATTCCTTCTAATAGCCACCTCCGAAAGGCAGGAATGCAGCATGCAGAGAGGGGGCCAGTGGAAGTACAGGCTGTGAGGGGGCTCCTAGTCCCAGCCAACAACCGCTTTTTGTCTAGGCTTGCATCTAAAGTCCAGGTGCTACCAATAGGAAGACTAAGCCTGACCATTAGAATGACAGAATTGCTGATGGTCCCTATTATGTTTGTCATTGACTTATACCCACCTGAAGCACATCAGTGGTGGCTTCGAATGGAAGAGAGCGTGGACTACTAGATTGAGCCTAGGAGGGACTCTGGGGGTACATTGAGGAAGGAGGGCCAAGGATGCTGGAAGGAACTCTTTCCTCTGTATTCTGGGAAGCTTTCCATACTCTCAGGTGAGCATAAGGGGAACAGTTCTAATGACTGGAGTATGAGTGACCTGTCATATCTGATTGTCCACAGGTTCTGTCTCCATGGTGCAACCTAACTTATTTTATGTGTCGCGTACTAGGATACCTCCCAAGTGAGCGGCAGAGGAGAGACTGAGCACTCATACACTTATTATAAGCAAGAGTCTCTCTGACTATATTTGATTTTTGTAAATGAGCAGGGAAATAATTTTTTTTAAAAAAGCTCTGATTAATAAAAGAAATTGAGGACGAGGTAATTTCTCAATGTATTTGGCTCATTTAATTTGACACGTGTGGGTTAGTCTTAATTATTTAGGCGACTACATTACAAGGCGCTAATAAGCACACTGCAGAAATTTATTAAGTGAGAGGGCTCTCTGGCTGCGTCTTTGCTGAGAAGTGAGGAGAAGCCATCGGGATCCCTTTGAGAACAAGTGAGCTGGAGGACTGCTGAAGTGAGGATTAGCTAGCTTGTCATACGCAAAATTTGAGATGCTCTTTGGAAAGATTGGTGGAGCCAAGCTAGAACTCACCAAATCCATATGTGGCAACCCATAGCAGGGACAGAGTAGATGAGGCAGGGGAATGTGAGTGCCCATCTAGGGAGGAAGAGCATTGTCAGAGATGCTGTCCATATGTAGACCAAGGAGGAAGCAGAAAGTAATCATGTGGGCTTGGGGAGACATCCAAGTAAAACACAAAAATAAAAACAAAAATGAACAAACAAATACTCAAGGCTAATAGGGGAGAATACAATACAATACAACATTACAGAGAGAGCATGAATCTCTGTTTGTGAGGTAGTCCCGCCACCAGCCTGTCCCCTTTCTTGTCTCTGAGATGGATAGTAGAATGAGATCACAGATGTTAGTTTTGGACTTCAAGATATGGGGTCTTCTTCAAGTAGGCTGCTATCTTTGGCTTCATCAGTGGCAGAACCACCCAGATTCCTCAAAGGCCTCATGGGAAAACGAACGAATGGAGCCTTGGCTTAAAAAGACTGTTCATAGCAAAGTTTAAAGTCATTTGTAGTTGGGTTGTAGCACTGTCTGAGGAGGACAAAGGCTTAATCAGTGCTATGTGCACAGAAACAGGTATTAGAACAGGGATGTTTCTTAAGGAGATGGGATGGTTGGCACCCTGGGAACTTTTGGGCTGTGGATTGTGAGCAACAGAAGGATCAGAGTATCCTTTTCCAGCCCTGAGCCCCTACTACCAGGTTCAGTGTCTAGCCCGTGGCAAGTGCTGGGCCAGAGGATGGCTGACTTAAAGGGCAGATTCAGAAATGCTAGTGGTGGGGTGAGCAGTTCTCCCTGACCCAAGTCAAAATGAGCTTAGATGTAGCAGGATGCATTTAGGTTAGGTTGGGATGCTTGTGGAGTGAATGAAACTTGTAATTCATCCAAACATGGAACTGTTTCCCAAGTAGGGAACACTGTGGGGTTTTCTCCAGGGAGGAATAAAAAGGATGGGTTTATAAATGGAGCGGGTTTCTTCAGCTTGCAGGCTGTGGATGGGGCTCTTTCTAGCTTCCGGATCCTTTATTCTCATGACTACTACTAATCATGACATGGCGATGCTGCATCTCATTTGTGGCACACTTATTTTTTTCACAATGCTGTCATATTTACTATCTCATTAGAGGCTCACAGTAGCTTGGCGAAGTAAGCAAGGTAGAAATTATTTCCTCCATTTTGAATTTAGAAACCAAGGCTAAGAGAGCTAAAATGACACTTCAGGGCCAAAGACCTAGCCAGCTGCTGTTGGTTCTCACTCTAGAACTCAGGGCTGGTTTCAGGGTCAGTTCTTAGGGATACCATGACTGTGGATGCTGCAAGTCAAAACAGACCAGAGAATACCAGAGATGAATTGAGTATACCTTTTCCTATTCATATCTCATAATCCCCCCCGCCCCCCACAAAGCCCTCATCCCTGTGTGTGATCTTATGTGGAGACTGGGACTTTGCAGAGGTGGTCAAGTTCAAATGAGGTCATTAGGATTGGCCCTAGTACAATATCACTGGTGTCCTTATAAAAGGGGAAGTTGAAGGAAACATATGAGGGGTAGGGGCTGGAGGGAGGGAGGGAGGGAGGAAGTGAGGGAGAGAGAATGACACATGAACATGAAGATGGCCATTTCTAAGACAGAGGGAGAAAGATCTTTAACAAGCCTTTCCCTATAGTTTTCAGAAGGACTCAAGTCCACTGACGTCTTGATCTTGTGGTCCTAGCCTTTGGTATTTTGAGGAAATGCATTTTTTCAGTGTCAGTTACTCAAGGTGTGATACTTTGTTATAGCAGCGATAGCTAACTCACATAGTCAGGAAGGGGAGGAGCCGGCTTTCTAGTGGGGCGTGGCTATTTCCAGTGTCTGTGATTCTCTTCACCTCCTTCATTTGGTCACAGAGCCACACTTAGAGAAGAGCGTCACGTGACTGCTCACCGGGGCCCAAACGGTGAGAGAGCATTGATCAGAGATGCTGCAATGGGACAGTAGAGTTGATGGGCACAAACCACAATGGGAAAGAGGACAGCAGACAGAAGGCTGCTGAGTGTGCATGTGCCTAGGAGCATTCATAGGCACTCTGGGATGCTGGGAGGAGTTTTCTTTCCACTTGTTATTCCCCATCTAGAGACTACTGAGGCCTCAAGTAACGCTAGCTAGAACAGGGGCAATGGACAGGAAGCAGCTCCTGCCCCTCCCATTTCTGAGGTTCTCCAGAATGTCAGTGGATGGCTGTTTGTAGGAGGACCTCTCTTCTGTTCCCACCTACTTCCTCGTGATGGCTGGATGATATGATGATAAAAGTTCCCGTTCGTGGGTTACTTACTTTTTGGCCATGTTATCACAGTCCCATTCAGTTGCTATCT